GAAGGGTATTTGAAGGGCAGATGAAATGAGGGTTATTTATGAGTTGGCAAAGGTGATGTAATGACAGGTGGAACGCTTACTACTCGCGCGGTCCGGGGATCATATTCCGGCTCGGCTTGGCTTTGTCCGGGAGGCCAACAGGGGCTTTTTCTTTCGGGACGATAAATTTGTGTTAGATTTGTTTGAAAGGACAAGAACACTGGCTTGTGCATCGGCTAAACCCCCACCCCCCTGTCACTGAATACTTTGCATTCGGTAAGGGGAACGCGAAATGGTGATGGGGTCATGTGGAAGATAATTTGACAGGGGGTAGTAATTTTTCAAATCTCAGTCCATTTTTGAACGCATGAATTTCAGGAAGATGGAAGCTTTTCTACGTCATAAGCTGGATGCAGCAATGCGTAGTTGTTATGTAATTATTAATTGTTTTTTTATGCAGTTCATGCGTACTACTTGTTTACTTTTCATTGCCGTGAAGACGCTTAAACGTGCAGCATTTCTTATGTATGAAACTGTGACTAATTGTTTCTTCTCTCAGTTTATTCGACAATTTCTAGTCATCGTGACCTATGACGGTTTTTAGACCTCGTCCAGAGTTCGCGATCGCTTGATAGGATCGCGCGATTTCGACCAAAGCCGCTACACCGCCGAATGGTGCGTCGTGGCGAACACAGTGCCGATTTGAATTGTGCCGTTGCGGTGTACCGTTTGGCGGTGGAGCGCACCCGCTCGTAATCGCGAGATCCAATGAGCGAGCCAATCGCGCGATCGTGAAGTCTGAACGCGGTCTTAGTGTAGGCCATGATGATGTATTTAACAAGTGTTGGGTCACAGCGATCCTTAGCGGTCCTGCTTTATCCCTAACATGACCTGCTGGATGATCGATTTCACTCCATGCTCTACATAATCCAGGCTTTTTTGCTAAGGCCCTTTTTGTATATTACCTCGCATGGTCTCATATATTTACATTTATTCCATTGTACTGGCTAGTTCATCAAATCGTTACATAATATAGATCATCATGTGTATTTTTTTCTTGCTTTGTTCATTCTGCTCCGTGTATTATTGTTTCTATCGGGCAGCGATTCAAGTAAAACTGTTTATCAAATGTTTTTCTGGAATTTATATTGGACGGATCGAAGCCAGGTGTGATTAGCGAAGCGTTTTTATGTAATTTTTTATTCAAGGCCGGAGTCATCGTGTAGAGTTATAGTGAGAAATCATGCCGGCACTGATACAGTATGCAATTTGTGCTTTGTACTGTAAAGTACGTTCGCGAAGACATATGGCTATTATTCCCGACTGGCCGATGGATGACGAGTCTTCTTACGGTCGTTTTCGTAAGCGTTTTGAATCATCTGAATATTACTTGTAATCCTAGGAATAGTCTAATGTCGCGTTCATACTTTGGGTCTCGAGCGATCCAGTCGCGCAATCGGGGACCGCGCGATTGCTATCAAACGCGGACCCCTTCAATCGTTTTACCGCTGCTTGGTTTCAAAGAAGTTCTACTCTGAATGCGACTGAATCAACAAAGGTGGTCCACTGATTGGCTGCGGATTCCGTCTCAGTCGAAGTCGCGCGATGTGGGAATTGATTGAGTCGCGAAGTATGAACGCGGCTTACTTCCAGTGATTTTTCGGATCAGTTTCTTATATCAGAAAGTAAGACGGGAAAACGTCCAGGTGTTGTCCTAGACACATGCTTTTGGTATCGGGGCGTTGGGTGCGAATGTGCACGAATGTGTACGGGAACACGCTCGCGTCCTACGAACTGATATTCTTTAATCAGCGAGGCTTTTGTGGAAGTAACATGTGTGAGGGTAACAATGGTGGGGAGAAAAGTAGAGCTGACTGGACTGACTACTCGTCCGAAACCAGCTTACAGCCAAATGATGGAATACTCCGGTGAGGTTCATGCGCGATGTCCACTGCACTTTGTGGATTTCACTTTTTCTCGTCGGATTCCCTTTTTTTCTGTTTATTGAGTTATGACCCACACTTCCTCCCTTCCCTTACTGATAAGCAAGAATGAAATTTCTTGATTACTTTCTTTCTAACTAGGGAAGTCCGCCAAATTACCATGGAACTTTGAATGGAGACCTGGGTAGATCGATAGAGTCTATAAGGTTATTTACAAAGATAGCAAAACTGCAATCTGCATCTCGCAACTTATGAGGAGGTAAGTTTGTAATGGTGCAATAGGGTGGAGGCTTGATGGTGAGCTGTGAAGCATAAGCGAGGGATCACATACGACGTTCGACGACACGATTCGACGTATGCGATTCCTCGCTTATGCTTCACAGCTCACCACCAAACTGCACCATTACAAACTTTACCTGCTCATAAGTTGCTTGTGAAATGCAGGTTGCAGTTTTGCTATCTATATTTGTAAATAACCTTATAGACTCTATCGATCTACCCAGGTCTCCATTCAAAGTTCCATGGTAAGTTGGCGGACTTCCCTGGTAAGGGCAAGTTCTTTGCACATCTCCATCTTACTTTTTTTACTCGACCACATGCTTTCAATCATTATTCGGTGTAGTTCAGCTCGGTGGGGCCCCGAATGGGGCTCAGCTAAGCGTGTACAGGCCACGTCGTGAAGAAGTTCTTGTGACCAAATTGGCTCGCACAATTTCGCAGTTTCACAACAGTTTACTGGCCTGACTTAAGTAGACCTGTCAATAGACATAAGCCAACAAAAGGAATAGCGAGAAAGCAAAATGCTCCCTCCTAGCCAAGGAGAGCCCATTACTCCATATTATGGATTGTAAATAGTGTCGGTCGGGTGTTTACGTTACGGCGTCGCAGCGTTGCAGTGTTGTCACTTGCTCAGCACCCGAATCAAAATTCGGTGGATTCAACGCGGAAGTACCGTAACAACGTGGATCTCATGACCACTCGGATATGACGGGTGTGTTGAAAGGCTTGCTTTCGGTTCGGTTCGATACTTCTATCGCAGGTAACAGTAAGCAAGCGTTTTCAGTAATTTTTTAGTTGCATCTTTGCTAGATGAAAGGCAATAATCCCTTTCTGGCCTACCTTGTCAGTAGGCTGCCCTGGGTGCACATACCCTCTTCCTTCCGCGTTCCCATAACTCGGCGAAAGGGGGCGCACATTAGACATTGTTGAAACTGCATTCAAGAAACTACTACATTTTCAACATGAATAGAAACTCACCTTGTTCACGTGAGCCAGGTGCGGATTGTTAGCCTGTAGGAGACCGTTGTCGACGGCGTAGAGAAGTGCACATTCAATGGATGATAGAAAATGGATTCGTTCTTTGGCGGCATTGTGACGAGCACTATTCAGTCGCGCCCATACTTCAACCGGTGACATTTCACCGGTCGTTCGCAGCTGAATAGTAATGCTGTGCTGATGAAAGAATAAATGTGAAGACCATTCACTGATGTCAGGCTGAGGCTTAAAGGCATAAGACACGATAATTTGGTACACGGTCTAAAATGCTAGCAGGGTGCTATCTAGTGCGAAAATGGCGAAAAAGCGAAATGAAGGGGT